TCTACGACCATGTGGAGAGGATGGGACGGATCCGCCGGAGCAGGGAACAGCTGAAGCTGCTGGGAGATTATCTCATCATGTGCCGCAGCGGGGCCCTGAAGGAGCTGAGCAAGCGGTGAGGTCCCTCTCTGGGTGACATTACACCTGCATCCCCCTCTTTGCACCCCGATGGTCTCCCAGTCCTCCTGATCGCTTGCCATTGGAGCGGAGAGCGATGCTGCCAAGGCATGGGCTGGTTTTTAGCTCCCTGTCAGCTGCTCTAAGGAGTTATCCATCTGTTGGCTGGGTCAACACATTGATATGTGACTCAGGAAACTCCTTCCTGACCAAGGAGCTTCTGGCTGGACAGGAAACACCTGGGAAAATAGAGGAGATATTTATTTTCTTTTTCCCCTCTTTGAAATGCTCTCACACGATTTCCAGTGGCAGGATTTGGGATGTGTGGCACGACGCGAAAATCAGGTCTAGCGGTGATTTTCTTCAAGAGTCTGCATCATCCAGGCCACCCCTTGCTGCAAAGCTAGTGCAGATGTGGTGGAAACCATCTACCGCCTTCCTCTCTGTGCTTCTTTGCAGGCTTGATCACAGGCACTACCTCCTGGAGTGTCCCCACAAATACAGCGTCGCTGATCTGAGACAGGTGAGAGCTTTGCAGGGTCGTAAGGGTTTTGCTGGTGAAAACGTCCCCGTTTCTGTCGAGCATGGCACTGCATCATCATCAGTAGAAGGTTTCAAACAGCTTCGTTTTCCTTTTGCCATGCTCTCATCCGTCACGTGCGCTCTGCAAGCTTGCACATCAGCATAAAGGCAAATAATTCCTTTATTTTAATTTGCCAAAATAATTGCCGTGGAGATCATGCAAGATAAACGTTCCCCTCTATAAGCCAGCATCGCTGCTGATGCATCGCCACCCAAACTCGTATCTATTGCAAATAACGTTGGAGGTGATCGGTACCTGGATTTGGCATCGACTCCGAAGCCAGGAGCCCCGTCCTGGCAGGTTGTGGGTGCTGCTGCCGGTGCTCTCTGGGGTCCCGTTGCGACCCCGGCGCGTGGGGTTGGGGGTTGTTTTTTGGAGGACAGCATTGTCTTCACGTGGCAGCACGAAGCATGGGTATAATGTGGATTTTGCACAGTGCAAACCCGATGGGAGACGGGCTCTGCGCCTGCCTGACCTCTCTCTGCCCCACAGATAGCCGACGGCGTCTTTGAGGCCTTCCTGCAGTCTCTGCTCCAGTTTGCTTCCCATCACGTCTACAACTGCGACCTGTGCACCCAGCGAGGCTTCATCTGCCAGATCTGCAACAGCAGCGACATCATTTTTCCCTTCGAGTTTGACACTACCACCAGGTGGGTGAAGTCTCCGTCGCATCCCGCTGCTGCGAGGCCACCCGAGCTTACGGCCTGGCTTTTCCCAGGAGCCTGGACCCTCCCCTGGGTCCCTCTCTGGGGCTCTCTGCTTTCTAAGCACGTAGCCATGGGGCGGCCTGGAAATAGCTCTGAGCTGGGTGTGCATCCTTGTGGTACCCAGGTCCTCACGGTACCCAGCTCCTCACGGTACCCGTGTCCTCGTGGTACCCCTCAGCTCCGAGGTGTTTCCAACCAAAACTGGGCTGTTTGGGGCAGGAGAGGGACCATCCTCGCAGAGCCAGGATGTCACCAAGCGCGGTGGCTTTGCAGATCGAATGTGCAGAGCCACCCAGCACCTCGCTGTCAGCCTGCAAAAACCTCGCTGGGTGCTGGGTCCTGGGGCAGCAGAGGGGCCGGGGGCAGGAGGAGGAGGATGATGAAGGTGCTGCGTGCCCCTGCCTCGCTCACGTGGTCGACCTGTCTCCTGTTCGAATTCAGTCCAACCCCTTCCAGGGGTTACAGGAGGGAAGGAAAAGCAGCAGTGGGACTGTTCGTACACCCCCTACAACCAAGGAGGGGAGGGAAGGACATGCGGACACGACTTTGGGGATAGATAGTGGGCAGCCCTGCGGGACGTGCTGGGCAGAGGCTGGGGACGTTCCCAGCAGGACAGGGGGGGACACTGGCTTTCATCTGGGTTTTTCTCCTGCCTGTGGAGCTGGCGTCCTTTGCAGGCAGGGTCCTTGCCTGCATGGGGTCAACTGCTGCAGGGGGTTCTGCAGCTGAGCAGGCGCTGAAGTCGGAGGGGTGTGTTAGGGGCGTCTTTAGGAAACCCACCAGCAGGGTTTTCTAAAGAAATCAATATCAAACCCTTCCAGCCCAGGAGCCTGGTCCGTCGTAGGTGGAGAAAGATCCGCATCTCGATGGTTATTTGGTGCTGAGTATAATCCCAGCAGAGAATTTTAACAGGCTGACGGTCTGCATGGTCTTGCTTTGCCTGGCGGTCCCTAAAAACGAGCAGCAACATCCAGAAGCTACAGAAAATGCCAACAAGACCAGGGTCCCTGGGTACCCCGCGCGTTACGGGGCTGCAAATATTTCCAGGGCAGCTGAGCAGGATTGCTCGCTCTCCCTCCTTGCCGCAGGGACAGCATTGTGCTTGGTATCAAGGACGACATCCCCAGGGGACCAATTTTCCCTCGAAAAAGAACGTACGGGCTCTGGAAAGAGCAGGCACGCGGGGCTGAGCTCCGCTGGCAGCCGGCCGGAGGTCTCATGTCCTGTAAAGCCGGGCTCTGAAGTTTGTTGACCTCTTTTTTTTTTTTTTTTTTTTTTTTTTCTTCTTCTTCCTGGCGGAGGAGGTTGTGCAGCAGGAAAGCAGCTCAACCAACATCCTCGCCAAGCTCAACCCGGCTTCCTGCCCCTCTGCCCGCCCCGGGGGACAGCCAGCTGCCGGGGTCACACCGTCACTCGCTCAGGATGCGTCTGAAACGCCTCCTAACAATAAACCCAGCCGGGCGCTTGACGTTCTCCTTTTCACAGCAGCGGCAGCCGCCCCCCGCCGCTCCAGAGAAGCCGCGTGAAAATATATTCTGCTGGGAAAATGCACGGCGCCGGGCAGCACCCCCCATCCCATCTAGCCATCCCCCAGCTTTTTCCATATCCTAAGTAACTCCGGGTTTGCAGCCGCCTGTCCGGAGCAGGATTTGACCCAGGCTGCGATGTCGTGGTCCCTTGCCTGGTGCGCTGCTGGGCGTTTCTCCGCTCCCCTCTCCACTCGTCCTTTGAGAAATTAAGGCATTCAGTGGTATTCACGCATCGATTGTGCACCAGGTATTTGCACTTGAGGGCATTTAAAAAAATAATCCGGCTGACCCGCCGGCATGCGGATGGGCTGCATTTTGCTGCTACTGGCGAGGTGGGGAATCGCCACTGGGAAAAAGTGAGCTCAGCCTTCGTAGCACGGACTTTTCTTCTGTTGACTCAAGATAAGTAGTGAACGCCTCTCGCGGAGCGGGGTGTCTCCTCCCCGCCGGCCCTGCGCAAGGTATCATTTGTGGCTGGTTACATTCCTGCCGCGGCGGTG